AATGCTAGCTGGGGAATTCTGGGAGTTGAAGTCCACTCATCTTAAAGTGGCCAAGTTTGGACAACACTGCTATAGAGGAACCAAAACAACATATGGATGCCTGTGGGGAAAATCCTAATATTGTTACCCATTCAGACTATCTCATTTTGATCAGCCAAATAGAATGGTGGTGATAAATCTCAAGTTACAATACAGGAACAGACTCATGTATTTTAGAAAAAGTCTTTGTATTTAAGAATACTTATATCAGGAGTGAGGAACCTGTGGATCTCCAAGTGTTATTCTAAACAACAGTCCCTAACACCTTTCACAGCTGGCAATGCTGCTGGAAATTGTAGTTTAATAAATATTTGGAGGGCCTGAATTATGTCATCATAATGTGTCCGTGTCACAAGATTCCATAAGGGATCAGCTGAACTATAGAAACATCACAAAATACAGGCTTTAGTTGGCCTGTAATTTCATTTTGAAGGGGAGATTCATTTTGAAGGGGAAAATTATTAAATACATGAGTATTTAATCCAAGGGATTTCCCCCCTCTATTTTAATATTCCTGAAAATTGGGAAAATGTGGGGCTGGGACCCAAAATATGTGACTAAGATCCTAAATAGGATGCCCGGAGACAAGGAGACTCTTCCAGTATGGTATGAAGCCAAAAACCTTTAGGATGCAGAAAGAAGTGACATTTTATTGCAAATGGGATCTTCATCTTTTGAAGCAGGCTTGTCCCACATACAATGTATGGCATGAAATCATGGAAGTACCCAAATAAGTGAATGAATTCTGGGGTGGAATTAAAATTAATTTTGTTAAGGACTGTAGACTTGCTCCAGGATTGTACTCTGGCTAGTACTTGCCTAGTGGGGTGCAAATTTAAGTTTTAAAAGAGGGTACTATTCCTATATTGTAATCAAATAATTATCACAAACAGTTTAAAAGATGTCATATGTTATTCCCCAGGAAGCTGAAGTCTTCAAGGGGCAAACATACGTGCTCTTTACAGTTTCACTCAGAAAAGGGCTGCTGAATGGGATCTGAAGGCAGAATTATTTGGGAGCATAAATGTACTAAAAACAGATTACAGCTTTCTCACTGCTGCACAGTTCCCAGGGCCTCAAGAAAAACAGAATGCTGTCTAGGGGGGGCAAAATAATATCCACATCTCCTATAAATCAAAAGCCAGAGAACACATACCATATTATGATTTGGCCAGTCGGTTCATTTGTTAACAGTTCAAGGAATACCATTTAACCACTCCAAACTGATTTACAAGAATTTTAAGCTACTCACAGCCTGTTGAGGATTGCAAGGTACAGCCTCTTCATATGGCATAAAGGCATTTATGTCTTTAAAGAGAATCGGTAATCAGCAGGTGCCTGTTGTTGTTGTAATCGTTGTTATTATGGTGCCTTTAATTCCTGGTGACTGCCTGGACTAGTCCCTGCAGTTTTCTTGGCAAGGTTTTTCAGAAGGGGTTTGCCCTTGTTTCCTCCTTCTTCCCAGGGTGGAGAGAGAGGGACTGGCCCAGCGTCACCCAGGTGGCATCGTGCCTAAGGCAGGACTAGAACTTACAGTCTTTCAGTTTCAGTTTCATCATCATCCCCACCTTTTAAAAATATTTTGGTCAACTGAAGATAGCAAATATACCTAATACTCCTACCTCCTATTTTCTCCACAACAACAACTGTCAGAGTCTGCACACTCAATCCCAAAGTTCAGTAAATCCTCTGGAGACAAAAAGTTCC